GATAGGTGGAGAGTTGCCCATATGGCGGAGCACCCCTTTTCTGACGTCAGAAAAATTCAAATAATAATCAGCTCCGTTGCAACCCCGTTTTTAGAGATTTGGGTACGGAGGAAAAGAGAGAGGCTTGTGTTTTCTGACACTTGGTGAGTTTCCTGACACCGGGGACACATATTCATGTATAAAACACGTACAAAAGTGCATTTTGCATGATAGGTCCCCTTTAAGTATAGTACTTGAGTTTCTTTACACCACTGTTTTCCATGTACTTTTGATCTGTAAAGTAAATCCTCCTGGTGGATCCACCAGTGATGTTTTTTGGATTCAGTGAGTAACTTTTAACTTCCTTTTTCTGTTTCCGACATAATCCCTGATGTGACTGCAGAGTCTCCTTCAGCTCAGTGGATTTGAGGAGCACTGAGAGGCTGAACCTGGAGCAGACTGAGGAGGACTTTGCACTGCTTGAGACTCACTGAATAACTTTCAGACTAGTGAGTACAACACACTGCTGAACTCATTCTCAAGAAGAGAACGTCAACAAACATAACATAGCGTTTACATAGTCTGTAAAATCGATGTAGTATCTCTACGTCGTAATAAGTGTGTTTGTGTGGTGCTGTTTTTTGTATTCACACATGTCCGTGTTTTCTACTTTGGTGATTTTCTCTATATGAAGCATCTGGCTATTTAATGCATAGATAGCTTAAATGTTTTTGTTAAATTGTCCCAAGTTGTCTTTTCAGTTGTTTGACAAAGAAAGAAGTTTCTTGGAAAAACTATTTTTTCCAGATGTATTTCATTAGTAAACAGAAACACAGAACAAACAGCCATAGAGGTGTCGGTAACCGGGCCTACCTGCACTTTAGGGACACAGCACAGAACCTGCCTGGTGTGATATATAATGAGGTGAGATTCAGCACTAGCAGCAGGTGGATAAACTCTAACTGTTTTCAATGCTTCACGGTCATAGATCCTTAGAAAGAGTGAAGCTTCAGCAATTGATTGTGACTGTGCAGAGCTGTTGGTAATTCTTCTTCCATTGCTGGATCTACCACAGAGAAAACAGTGTGTTTCTCAAAGCAGCATGGTGTCTCTAAATGGTTGGAAATGCTGTTTCTTTCTGCAAAATGCACTTAAATTCTACCAAATGGTTTTGTCTTTGGTATCTAAAAAGGGAACCATGTGAAAGTTACCATTGTGTCTTAAAGTTGAGGATGTATTCGTGTCCATGAAGTATTACACTGGATATGGAATTAGTGAACATTTGCATGGCTTGAAGGGGTCAAATTTGTGGATGGACATTTTAACTGTGCCTCCTATTATATAACCTTAAGTCACTTGACAGCCAACAACTTCTATAAATTCATAAAGGAGATCCATTAGTGTGCTGATACGCTTGACACAACAACAGAGCAACAGCCCAAAGTTCCCTTTATATGTTTCCCACCCACTATAGTCCAGCAGGAAGGGCCCTCAGATTTTGAGATACCCCTACCCGAGGTAGAACAAATGACAACAATGATTTGTCTTATCTGTAGGGTCTCCCATTAATGAAATTGATTGTTGTCAAATTTTATTTTGGGGGAAAAAATGTTTTTTGGGTTGTTCTTTAGAACTACCCAAATCCCTGAAAAAGAGCCAAATTAGACCAGGCCGAATGTGGGAAAGGTGACAAGAAAGCCCATAACTTGAGAATGACCAATCTTTTCCTCTTCAGATTTGCTGAGGTATTAACCAGGTGGCTGTCCTACATCACCAAATAGTCAGACACTGATTTAACAAAACAAATACTGAATTATAGTCCTGTAAACTTAGCTTTAGTTTAGACGGAAATTGTACTTTTTGGTGATAGGAACATAGGACTCAATCACTTTTCTCTCATTTATCAGAAAAACAGAAATCCCTAAACAATATACCATTACTGAATTGTCTAGGGTGCTATTGAACACTAACCAGTAGTTGTATGGAAATATCTGGTACAGTTCTATTGCAAATGAGATTAGGTCAAGTATATAGATACTAGAATATAATGTGAAATGTCAGGTTCCTCAGAAACGTTAGGGGAAACATTTTGACATTCTGTCAATGTGTGCCCTGGTTGAATGGCCCCATCTCCGACAATCCACCCCTTGCCAACAGGACTCCATAACAAGGGTTTGGGTTCGGGCTGTGACACCATCGCTGTCTGAAACGTTGTTCTTTGTACATGTTGTTGAAATGCATCCTCTGTTGGTGGCAGATTTTCTGAGGCTGCATCTGTTGTTGATGCAATTATGAACCTCAGTTCATCCAAGTTTGTGCACATCAGTCCAATTTCCTTTTTTCCATATAGCAGAAGCGCAAATTCTCTTGCGACTGGCAAAGACTCTTCCAAGCTGGCAGAGAGTCCGAAATGGGCCAGATCTTTGAGCTCGCTGAGATGGGTCTTGAGTTTGGTGAATGCTGTTGTCTTTCCTATTCTGTACAAACTACTTGTTGTGCCACAGCCAGTGAGTGCATGACATGCTGGTAGACATCATTGTAGTTGCCGCCCAGCTTCAGGACCATCTCCAACTAAACGGCCTCTTTGAGAAATTCCAGTCCGGTTTCCGTTCTGCCCACAGCACTGAATCAGCTCTGGTCAGGGTCACAAACGACCTGCTGATGGCGGCTGACACTGGTTCTGCATCTCTCCTCATCGTACTGGATCTCACTGCAGCATTCAACACTGTCGACCATAACATCCTCCTTCAGCGCCTCAAACACACCATCAGACTCTCTGACTCCGCCCTGAGCTGGNGCACTGAAACAGCTCTGGTCAGGGTCACAATCACACATCTTGCCGCTCTTTTTCAGGGATTGGGGTAGTTCTAAAGAACAACCCAAAAAACATTTTTTCCCCCAAAGTAAAATTTGACAACAATCAATTTCATTAATGGGAGACCCTAAAGATAAGAAAAATCATTGTTGTCATTTGTTCTACCTCGGGTAGAGGTATCTCGAAAACTAAAGCCTTTTTTGAGGACTTGCTGCTGGACCACTAAGGCTGTGTGGAATTGGAAGAAAATGCAATAGAAAATCAAAAAATTTAATTAAAAAGTATTTATTTAGGGATTAGTTAAGGTAAACATTTAAACAACATATTGCTGAGTTTTGTTTATTATTTTTGTCTCCCCAAAATTGATCTTGCCTTGATCTTATTGTCTCATGTTTATCTTCCCACCTTAGGAACACAAGATATAAGATCATAATAGCTTCTCCAATTCGGGTTGCCGTTCCAGAAAGGTAAATTATGAAAACAAATGACAGATCTTTCATCATCTTTCAATTTCAATCCTATCATACAGAGATTATTTCAGAAAATATGATTCAAGAGGAGATTCATTTGTTAAACTGAATATTTTGGGTATTTTATTTAGATTTTTGCAGATGTCAGGACGTCACTGCTTTGCTATGAGGAGAAATTACAAGTAGGTTTTTCTTAGATAAATAAGAATTGAAAAAGGAGGAAAACAAGCAATAGAAAGGATCCATGCCTGTGTTTGCCTCAGGCCCAGAAATGACTTTATCTTTCCCTACGTCACAGGTAAGAAAACAAAAGAAACGTTTCCTGCAGTTTCACCTCGACAGGATCAGTAGAAGACCCAGCTGCTAACCACAGAGACAACCCTACGCCCCCGATAATCCCTTGATCAAAACCAGGAAAGAGATAAAAAAAGAGAGGAAATGTTTTCTCAGAGCAATCGTTGAAGGGTTTTGTGATGTGACCCTTGAATGGGTGTCAAACTCAAGGCCCGGGGGCCAAATCCGACCCGCAACTTCATTTTCTGTGGACCCACAAGAGCTCTGAAAGAATATAATACGTTTATTATACGGTTACATGTCGATTTACAGAAGCACGTTGCCCATAAACTACATGTCCCACAATGCATCTCAAATATGAATTTTGTTCAGAATTTGACATTTGTTCTTCAAAGTTTCACATTTATTTTACATTTTCACATTTTTTCCAGAATTTGGCTTTTAAAAAAATATCATTTTGTGACATTCTCACTGAAGAGACTTCCAATTATTTGCCCTAGACTTCTGCTTTCAGATGTAGTTAATTATGAAATTATTACCGTATCCCATAAAATTCAGAGGCAATAATGTAATATAATACATACGTTTATATATATTAAATATTTATATATTCATTTTTATATAGTCTTAAAGTTACAACCGGCCCTTTGAGTGCAACCATAATGCTGATGTGGCCCGCAATGAAATGTAGTTTGACACCCCTGCTTTAGAGAGTTGACAGCAGTGCTGATGAACGATATGAAGTAAGGGGAGGAAAACACAAGGTGCATGATGCTGCTGGTGCTAACACTGAAGAGAAAAATCTTCAAACATAACATTATCCAGCTAGTATTTAGGATAGAACCAAGCCAAGGATTTCCAAATGAAAGTGAATCATCAAAATGAAAACATTCTTTATACCACCATTATATACCCTGATCCATTTAGTTTTGAAACACGATTATAAGTATTCTAAAAATACTGAACCGCTTTGACAACAACAAATCCTCGTAGTACCGGAGCTGCTTTTGGACGGTAAATCAATCGGATAAGAAGAAATTGTGTCAATGAAAATAAATGGCAGCACATGGGTCACATATTCAAAATACATGATCAATCTTATCTAGAGTTCCACAACGCAGGTCCACTACCTATCCCAAGTCTTTCAAGAGGGCATCACAAAGAAATCAAATGAATTCATATGACAACAGCCCCTCTACTGAAGAATCTCATTAATTGTATTTCAAAAAGTAATCCTTATTTTTCCCAAACTGTTATTTCGCCTGTCTGTGCTTGATTTCAGGCGACCTCTCCTGTCACCGAGTGGCACAAAGGCGGCTTTTGATCCCGATACAGGCAAACTCCTGATGAAGTGTTTTAATAGAAACTACTGACTCCATGACATCTGCCTCCACGCAGTACATCTGTGTGTTCTCCTGTGACAAGCACGCACATTTCAGAGGCGCATACGGCTACACATTTCTTCCTTTGTGTGTGTTCCTGTCGGTTTGGATGAAGGTGTGACCTCTGGCTCCTTCGACAGAGAGGAGGGAGAATTATAGGGAGCGAGGGATGGAGAGACGGATAGAGGGCTTGATGAATAGAGTGGTGTGGAAGAAAGTGTCTCGGCAAAAGAGAAGAGGAATGAGGTCATTATCTCTGTCCTCACCTGTGGCCTCAGTAGACACACACACACACACACACACACACACACACACACACACACACACACACACACACACACACACACACACACACACACACACACACACACACAATCCACATTTCATCAACAACAGCAACATCTCTGCCCCTTCCTTTTTCTACCCAACACACCTTCCTTCTCTCCTTTTTCTTTCTCGGACTTCACTTTGTCCTAACTGTATCTACTCATACACGGATGTCTTCTTCTTCTCTTAAGTCCTGCATTATTGGAAGCTTCTAAACTCTCTCCTACATGATTAATCTCAGTCTCTGTTTCTCCTTTGTCCTACAAGTAGAATCCAACCGTCACATTCATCATAGTGATTTCTCTGCTCCTAACATCACTATTATAATCGCTGGTACATGTTCCCTTCCCTGCCCTATTACTGTTAACTTTGTTTGCCTCCCACCCAGTCCCCCACACCTTTAAAGCATAGTAGCTTGTAATCACATCCACTGGACCATGATCACCCCTCTTCTCCTTTTCCTCTGCTTTGGCCACTTTCAACCCCCTTCTTCCCTCACTTCGTGAGGCGGGTCGACGCCTCTTGAGGCAACGGAGCAGAGAAATTAGCCTGTTATCGAGGGTCGGATTTTTCTATGCGCTTGTAAATTGCTTTGTATTGACACTCTGTCAGAGCGGGGTCGTCACAGCGGCCTGGGCCACTCGCCACCCCGCAATCGCGCTGCTGATCTCGGGGTGCTTCCACCGGGATCGAGGGGGTCAGGAGGGTGAAGCTGTGTGTGTGTGTGTGTGTGTGTGTGTGTGTGTGTGTGTGTGTGTGTGTGTGTGTGTGTTTACTTGGTGAAGCGGATCTCCAGGTGAGAGGTCAGGTACTCCCTGGGGGTGAAG